TCAAGTCCCGAAGTAGTAACCATATCAACAACAATACTAGGGCACCGTTGACCAAAAAAAATAACTCTAAGATAAATAGAGGGATAAAATAAGGGAGAACAATATACCTCTAATCGAACAGTAGCGACATATAAAGAAGGTCCAGAAAGCTACCAAATGATCAGGTCACAGTGCCCAGAAATTCAATAAATATAAATAAATGACCTACTGCATCAAGAGCAGATCAACAGAGAAGAGGATTCAACCTCTCTTAAAAAATTCTTAGATATTGCAACTTGGTAGCACTGTAATGAAGAATGCGAAGAACGAAGCCACAAAAAAATGTGACCCGACAGTGGATTAATGAGTGGGTTGGATAGTGACCCAACAATGGGTAGTGGGCTAGTCTGGGTTTATTGTTGGGCTGGTCTGGTTTTTTTTTTTTTCTTTTGGATTGGTTTGGCAGACTGGTTTGTCGATGAAGGTAGGATTTTGGATAGGTAGTGGACTGGTTTGGATTAGTTTGGCAGACTGGGGTAGTGGACTGGTTTGGCAGACTGGTTGGTCGGTGCCTTTATGGTTGGCTTGATGGGTTCGTTGAGCAAACTTGTTTGATGGACAGTGAAGTTTTGTCGTTTCGGTGGTATATGTGGTTTGTGGCTGTCAGTGAAGCTGTGTTGTTGGTGATAGCTATGTTGTCGGTGAAGCTATGAAGTTGTGCTGTCGATGGACTGAGGTAGGTAGTGGGCTGGGTTTTGGTTTGCAGTCGGTGGTTTTGGTTTGTTGAGTTATGGTGGTCTACTGGGCAGTTGGTGGAATGTTGGGATGGTGGCTGGGTTGTGGTTGCTGTTGTTGCGCAGTGGTGGCGGCAAGCTGCAACGAGGTATAGAAGGCTAGGGTTATGGTTAGGGTTGGGTTAAGGTTTTGGCTCTAATACCAACTAGAGAAATATGTATGAGTCAAAAAGAGATACAAACTAAGTGTAGAGCCCCCGTATATATAACCAATAAAAAATACAATAAAGATAAAAAGGTAAAAAAAAGAAAACTATAATAAATTCTAATAAACTAAGCTGCTATATCTTCAACACTAATTACTAGAGGCATAACCATAAAACACATAGAGATGGAAAAAGGCTGGTTTGAAAGGCGGGAGGGGAAAAAACTCGTCATCTTTCATAAACACACACATAGTAATGCATACGTTAAAGGAAAATTCTGAATAAAGGAATATGGTACGAGCAGCTTTATGGTAAGACATTATTCCGTTAGTACATTGAAAGCAGGTCATGCTTTTGAAAACAAAAATAGTATTGGAGAGCAAGTATAGTACTTCTAGCAAGCCAAACAATCTCAAGAAAGGGAAAAAGAATACACAATCTCAAAAAGGGGGAAAAACTTCAAGAAGTACACCATCTTTAAAAAAATGGTAACTTGTTTATCTCCCCCCCCCCCCCCCCCACACACACACCCCAAAAAAAACATTATTATTAGCGATAATGATAGAAGCTACAATTATGAAACCTTCTATTCTTTTGTTGGCGGTGTATTTCACAATAAAGGTTCAATTTAAAGGTCTACAAGTAGTATGGTATGCAATGAATTTAAAAAACCACTTGTACTCAAAATACCTCAAACCTTTTTTTCCCAGTGTTGCATTTATATCGGCTTATGGTTGAGCACATCTCTTGCTTCTCCAAGCAGTGGACATAAAAAGGCTAGGTCACTGATAGAGGATCAAAGTCATCTCACTTATTTTGGGAACCGAAGGAATTGGAAAAATATATTTTTCTTTTTGGTTTAGATTATCTGGTCTAGAATTGTGTTCATCTCCATGTTTATGAGAGTGAGTGCGAGAAATCTATGGGCTGCTAGATGTTCCTTATGCTTCATGAGAAAAAGCTAATACCTTGTCAATTATATTATATACTACATCATTGATATTGATGTCCTAATCCTCGATGGCACGATCTTTCTTCAATAGTCCTCACAAAAGCAAATCTTTATTCCAGCATATCAACTCAAACTGAGTTTATCAAACATATCAATGAATAACAAATTGAACTGAATCAAATATATTAAATTTATCGCAGAATAAAGATTTGGTCAGGGTCAAGTCTGCATCAAAGAATTTTAAGCTTTACAGATAGACACTATTTATTTGTTTCCTGGATGCAAAAAAAAAATAATCATTGGAAAACAAAACAGAGAGAAAAGCCTCAATATTTCTACCTATAATGCAGCTTCCTTATGAGATGGTAAGTGTACATTTTCCACAACTGAAGAGCTTGTGAACTGGATTTTCCTTCCTAAACTGCAGCTACATTGTGGCTTTAATTAACTAATGTCGGAGAAGTAGGCTTGTTTAGCGAATTCGAGTCCAAAGATTAAAAATCATAATTGTGAAGCTTCTCCGCTTTCTTAGCTGACAATGACTCTCCTCTCTTTGCGTGTCCAGCCATATGACATACAGAGCTCCAATGCAAAAGCTAAAGAGATTAGCAATTTTCAAAACTAAAGATTAAAGGGAGAGAAATTCCAATAAATTATTTAAATATATGGAACAAGATAAATAAAAAGCAATCACACACAATTAGAAGGTCACATTTTATACCAAAATAGCAACAACAACAACAACAAAAACAAAAATTGAAGCTTATTTTTATTTCTTTGAAAAATCATATAAAGCCAAATACGTAACCATTTTTTCCTCTATTCAACTTAATACTTGAACCACATCAATATTGTAGATGTTAGCAAGATATATATGTGTGTGTGTGTGTGTGTGTGTGTGTGTGTAGAAAACTAGGGTTGAATGTAAATATATATTATAGATCATGAAGGATACAAATTTATTGAGATATATCCCCACCATGGCCATTTGCAGTAGGGCATGTGGAAAAAAAAACAGAAGAAAAAGTTGCTACAAAGATGAATAAGTAGCAGAATCATAATAGGTCTTTCAACGCATGAGGCATTGAGTGGTTTTCATCTGAAATAGCAGAGATACTTGCTTACATTATCCTTTCATCATTTGGATTGATATCCACAAGTTTCCTAAGACTGGAAATTAAATACAATGTTTAGTTATAACGTAATCAAATAATATGAATGTCCACGTTAACTGAAATGAAGTCCAATAAAATAGTACAAAAAATTGAGTCCAATCACATCAAATTGAAATTTTTTTCAAACAATGAAGATCGGTTTCCATTTTTCCCTTTTTTATTTCAGCAAATGCCATCAAATTGGGTCAAATGTTTCGGTCCAATTTGATGGGTCTTTTGGAAGTCAGTATACCAAATTAGACATAATTGTAAAAAAATACATAAAATAAAATATTTTGGAAAAAAATATATAGCTGGGATATAAAGACGTAAATGTCCATTTTGTAAAATTTTCTTTCCTAAAACTGTAATAAGACATTTATCTTAAGCGCTGAAATTTAGGGTCATTTAATTCGAAATCTCTAATGCACTTTGATTCATGCAGATTTTGTTTTTGAAAAGTGGTTTTATTTTCAAATTATATTTATAGATTAAATATCTCCTAGTTTTATAGGAGAATTTTAATATTCCGTTTATTTTAAGATATATCACTTTGTTTGAATTTCAAAAATTGTTAATATCCGAACTCCATAATAGTGTAACAATACACTGTAAAAAAAAACAGTGTTAAGTGATTTTGTACATGTGGTAACAAATTCAAAACAAAAATGAACTATTTTGAATGAATTATATGAAAATATATGTTTGACAAAATGTAATAGTATAATATTTTGTATAAATGTTTTATTACACTGTTATTATTACATTGTTATAGAGTTCGGATATCAATATAATTTGAAAACAAAACCATTTTTCAAAAAAAATATGCATGAATCAAGAGAGGACATAAAAATACGAAATATTAAAATTCTCTCATAAAAGTATGAGATGTTTAATACACCATTTTCCAAAAACAATACGCATTGATTAGGGAAGAAAATAAAGGTCATAAGAAAATATGAAAATTTCAAATAATATACTTTGAAACAAATAAGTATCAAAATTAAGAATTTTTTTACCCTACATTTTTTTTGTGTATTTTTTTACAATTAACTCTAATTTTATGTATCTCCTTCTAATTTCCCGTATTTTGATTTGGTATGCCCCGCTATTGCACATTTCTAAGTCCAAGCTCTTAATTCGGGCTTCTAGGAGTGGGCTTAGATTTTATAATAAGGTTAGTTTGCAGTTAGCAAGAAACCAATCTGTTCCTCCTATCCATCTCTTTGGCTGTGTCTGTGTTTTGATTATTGTGCTCAGTTATTTGGGTTAATCTTTGGCTGTGTCTGTGTTTTGATTATTGTGCTCAGTTATTTGGGTTAATCGTAAGTTGCACCCTAAAAGATAATTCAAATCTTAATTTAAATTCTCAAAGATCAAAAATCTCAATTTACACCTTCAAACATAAAAATTTGTATCCATATGCACCTCCAAAGATAAAAAAATCTCAATTTACCCCCTCAAAGATAGAATTTGAATCAATGTGCACCCCTAAAGATAAAAAATCTCAATTTGTATCCTCAAAAATAAAAATTTATATCAAAATACATCTAAAACTAAATTTGATAAATTATACCTAGATCCCCTTACACTTATCACTTAATCATTTGAACCCCTTCACATTTAGAATATTACTCCTACATCTCATTACGTTTGTGCACGTATAACACGTAACCCTTTTTCGTTGATATCGTGCAGATATAACCGTTAAAAAGTATGATTTTATCCTAATAAAAAATTATAATTTTATATTACCCTTTATTTTGTGGGTCCGATATACTCTAAAGCTGAAACGAAAGTTTGTAAAACCAGAGTTTAGCAGACAAAAAAAATGATCACGCCCACCTTAGAGCTGACATAAACAAATCAGTCCTTGAACACAAGGGTTAATTCGAACCTTGATAAATTGGAAGAACGGTGTATCTTGTAGGAACAGAAGCAGGAATATAGTTGACAAGCATTTGTGTTTTCCCGGAACAAATTATTCTAAAAATAATGAGAGTTAGAACAACAAAATACAGGGCTTCTAAAACACGAATTGTATGCAAAATGATATCCACAATTCTCTTCCTCCTTTCTTTTAAAAGGCTCATGGGGCGTACAACAATATATTAGTGTAGAAAGCTATGGAATTTAATCAATATCAGACATATCTCTAAGAAGACTTTCATGACACTAACAACATTTTCAGAGCACCATAAGTACTACAAAGAATTTTCAGGAATGATACAGTCATAAATTAAAATAAAAAGCAGCCCCTACTGAAAACCTAACTTGAACCAAAGAGGTTATGCAATGCAAGCTATACAGAGGCGAGAGGGCACACCACTCGTAACTAAGTTACAAAAACAGCACACTTTGTTCTGAAGTATCAATACCGAGTCAGGTTTCTCCACTTGTCCTTTAAATCAACCTGAACAAAACAGTTCTTCTAATGTTATATGAAGTCATACACAGTACCAAAGTAAACAGCTATAACGAGTAAGTTCCGAGCATATTACCTCAGTTCTCTCTTCAAATATGTCACGATACATATTTAAGATGAGCTTCCAGTTTCCAATACCATACCTTCAGAAGGAACATACATAATGTGAGTACCAAAATACTAAAAAGAAAAGCTCCTAAACAAAATAAGACAGGTTTGCCTCTCCAATTCAAAAGCTGGGACATTGGAGGTTTTTTGTTCTTTTCCCATTTTTCTGTGTGTTTTTTTTTTTGTTTTTTTTATTTCTTGTGGGGCGGGAAGGAGACAGTCATAATAGGACATTTTTAGCAAAAAATAAGTTTTATAAATAAAACAACAGCAATCATAAAACAAGTTTCAATCATCACAATGCATTGCTTTTAAAGAAAAACTCACATACTTCTGCACACCAGTCCTCAAAGTGTCTTCTTCCAAGGTGCTCCATTTCTTAACTTTTCTCCGCTTTGCAAGTTTTGTAACTTCATATTTCTTTAAAGGAGAAACCATCCTTCTTTTGGGGCTAGGTAAATCAGGTCTACTCCGATGATTAGGAGACTCCTCAGATAAATCATCAATAGAGTCGTCCCACTGAGAAGACCAATTATAACTCAACATATCGATAACTTTATATCCTAAGAAAAATACTGGCAAACATAAAAAAAATAGATCCAGACAATCTCAACAATATATAATATTCTATAGAAACTTCATACTCTTAACACAACACCTAAGAAAAAAATTTTATGCTCCTCCACTAAAGTTTCTGAATCAAGCTTAATGGTTACATAAAAAAAAAAGTCCATAAAAAAGCTGTTAGAAAAACAAAAAAGATATACAAAATGAAAATCTTACCTCATAAGTATGGGCAGTATTATTTCGTGCCATTAAGCTGAGTTTAGGGGCATTATTTTGATGACTGCAGCACTGATTATCAAGATTAGCATCATTGGCTCGACCAGCTGCAGCACTGTTGTCAACACAAGAATTGGGTTCCTTGGCATCAACCTTATTATGATTTTTCATTGCAGGCTCATGTTCCCTGTCTTCTCTTGCCATGCTAGCTATTATAGTCTCAGCAAGGTGTAGTGCATCAGGAAGAGGATCCTTTACCACTGCTTGTAGCTCTAAAGAACTTGACGCAAGTGCTTCCTGTACTTTATTGATGGCAGGTGAAAGTGGGATATCATATTTTTTACATGATGTCCTCACTCCCCCGTCCTCGGTATCAGCAATCTTAGCTCCTCTCAAAGTCCCAGAGGTTGTTCCTCGATGGCGTTTATTAGCAACATGCTTTTGCCTGGGCAGCACATTTGCTTTGTGGGTTTCTGGAAAATGCTCACTACAGTTAATTTAAGGCACATGTAATAAAAAGCTCAAGAAGTTGAAGAAGTCCAAATGGCAGAAGCTGGACGAGCATAGGGATTATCAAATCATGTTGGGCAAGGAAATGAAGTGATATTTCACTTTGTAGGCTTCATTCTTCTGCAATGCCAATCTCCAAAAAAACTATAATTGTTTCATCACACTTCGAAGTGTCAAAAATGTACAACAATATAACAAAACTTTTCCAAACAATAATGACCTCAAGGCAATTGTGTTGGTTTAGAATAGAAATTCTCATATTTCGGAATGTTTTACAATGATTCGGGGTGTTCTGGGAAACTTTTTCCAATGTTTCAAACTATGAATTTCAATTTATTTTCCTCTACTCCCATTATTTTTTCAAAACATTTTCGAAGAGTCAAATTTTCATTACGAAGTTGACCACATTAATGCACCAAAACGAACTTTTAATCCAAAAGATTCACAACTTTGCAGATAAATCGGATATTTTGCTAGTGTTTTGAGGAAATATGATTTTTTACATTACTCATACATTGGTGTGAATGCACTACTATCCGCAAATTGTCATGGATATTGAAGACTTAACAAATAACATTGGCAGAGCTCAATCCCCTGGCTACAACTAGTCCATTCAATCTATATCTGTTTTATCCATGATTTAAAATGATAGGTACTAATTTATTGAAAATTTGAAAAACCCAAATAAATCAAATTACCTTTGTTGTTGTTACTAACAACCCCATCCTGTCCAGCATCAGGCAAAAGTTCTTCTCCCTCCCTTAAGTCCTCACACATTCCACTCCTTCCCAATTCAAGCACTTTTCTCACTGTATTATCATCCCGCATTGTCTCGGCCACGAATTCGAGAAAAGAAGGACCCATTCTTTCTTTCTCTTCCTTAACATAAACCCTCACTGCCTCCACAGCATCTTTCCCTTTACTCCTCTTTACCAAATTTTGCCGAACACTTTTATCCCACAACGCGGCCTCAATCTCATCCTTCCAATTCTTCAATTCCTCTGAAACCAACCCCACCTTCTCAGACCTCTCCATTTTGCAAACCCTACCTCTCCAAATCCTCCTCACCGCATGAAAATACCTCCCCTCATTGTCATCCTCGTTTCCCTTCAGAAAGCTCACCGTGCAATCCACGGCCACCGCGCAAAACGCTACCTTCATGGCCTCAGAAACCTCGACCCCTTCTTCGTTACCCAGTTCTTCAATTTGTTCCAACAACTCAAGAACTTTCTCGGAAACCAAACCGTAAGCAATCTCCGACTCGATTCTTCGCAAAAGCATGCTCCTTTTGAGACTTGGATTGTTTTTCGGTAGAGGAAGAACACGAATGACAGAGTCTAATGTCTGATCTTCGAGCGATTGACGAAGAAGGAACTCGAGAACCCATCCAGCTATATCCACATCGATGTCCATTACCATTCACAGAAACCCTAAAAAAAAACCCTAACTTCAGGGTGGCGAAGAAGAGTACAACACTTAGGTTCTTGAAATTCTTGCTAGATAATTCTAGGGTTTCTGAACGGTATATTTTCGAGATCGAAAATTCTACGTTAACGCATGTTCTTCGTCGTTTTTGAATTGGGAACGACGCTCAAGAATGAACCATGTCGCCTTGAAGAAGAAAAACATTAAAATCAGATCATAAAATTGAAACACTGACGGGTTGGACCAGATCAAAAAATGTAGGAGAAGTCACTCTCTTATTTTGGCCCAATAATCACATGGGGTTAGGCCGTTTGTAGACATGCGGCTTGGCCCATTGGTCTGAAAATTTAACAAGGGAAAATAGGAGGCTGGTACATAATATTAGAATTATTAGAAAAAAAAAAGTACACATTTTAATAACATTTATAAGGATATCTCCAACCATAACTCAAATTTAAATTTGAGTAAAAAAATCTAAAAAATTTAATTGTGAGATTTCACCCTCTTTTAAAGATTTAATGGTCATCTTTACTCTCATTTAATTTTGTGTTTGCCCTCATTTAAATTTAATTTTCTCCATTTTTAAATTTGAGTTTGTCCATTGGAGTCATTTGTATCAAATCAAGTTTTTTACTCAAATATTAACTTAAATTTGAGTTAAAATTTGAGTCATAGTTCGATATACTCTAAAAAAGTCCACCCACTATAGCTAAAGTCTAAAATAACCTTTTTCAATTGAAAAGTTTCCTACATGTCTAAGGAAACCGACAGAAAGAATGGGAAGAGACAACAACTGCTCACATGTCACCATTGGTGCCGGAGTTTCCACGATTTAAGGATTAAAATTTGAAATTTAAATGATGCACAACTATCTACCCCAAACATCATTCTTGAGTGTCAAAAAAATTCATTATTATTGAGGGTTTCACTATGAAGAACACACACTGTTGGCATCGTTGGAATTTATTAAAAATGAAGGTTTGGTCACTGTGACGCTAATGTCACACTGTGTACACACATCATATGCATGATTTTGTCACTGTGACGCTAATGTCACACTATTGTAAAATACATATGCAAGGTTGGGTCACTGTGGGCATTATAATATGACATTAATGTCTACTGTATATACACAAACATATGCAAGTTTTGGCACATGAAAAGTATCACAGTGTGACCCAAGGATTGACACACTATAGACGTCACAAATGTGGCATTAATGTCACACTACATATAGGCATTATATATAGGATTTGCACATAGATAATATCACACTGTGACACTAATTTAACACTTCATGTACACATCATATAAAGAGTCAAAAACACATGGTGGGTGTCATTGTATGAATCCAATGTTACAATGAAACTTCACATCATATGCATTATTTTTTAATGGTGTGAGTATCTAAAGTGTGACATTGGAGTCACGCTGCAAAACAAATATTATATGTAATGGTTTGCACATGGTGGGTATCACACCATATGACTTAAATGTAACATTGCATAAACAAACAGAGAAAATAGAAGTGAGGGAGAGAGAATATGGAGAGGAGAGTAACAATGGGAGAGGGAACTAGTTTGAGAGAGAAAATAGTTGAAGAAAGAGTGAGAGAGAGAAAATAAGGAGTTACAAAGATGGTAACAGTGAGACTCAATAGAGAGAAAGAGAGAGAGAATAGGAAATCTTTTTAAAACTAATGAAATCCATTCAAAATTCAAACAGTCAATTATCTTTTAATTGTGAAAACCATTTATCCAGTACCATAGAATAAAAAAAAATAAGGAAACAACTAATAAGACAAGAGTGTTGTTTTCAGAATTTCAGTCGTTGAATGAAAGAGGAAAATGTAGTTCAAAATTCAAACGTTCTGTCCCCCCAAAAAAATAGGAAACTGAATCCTTCAATTAACTACCTAAATTATTTTTCATGAATTTAAAAAAAGGCTTTTATGTAAATGAAATATTTAAAAAATAACCAAAGTGTATCTGTTCACAAAATATTTACACAAAAAAAAAACTTATACACAGAAAATTTATATTAAAGTACTTCCTCACAAATAAATAACGTACAATGTACTTTTCACAATTTTTCCATTTAAGAAACAAAGCAGGAATTGACCCAGTGGGCACACCACTGGAGGTTCATTGGACATGGAGAAGTGAGAAGAGGTTGGCATCCCGAATGAATCAATAAGGGATTTTGTCAAATACATATTTTCTAATTTTTTTTCTTTAGTAAGTTATTTATCGTGAATTTAGGTAGAATCAATTGTATGTGAATGGATCCCATATTAATACATTTTTGATAATCTAACAAAACAAGAAAATTGAAAAAAAATAAAATATTAAAAGAAGTCTAAAGTGATTTGGGAGTACCTTCTTGCCGCAATTTAAAAAGGTTGTGTTACCTTTCGACGAAGATATTAATACCAAACTGCATGGTAGAACTCTTGAAAGGATTCATGTTGCACTTATCTTCATAGGTGTATTTGAGTAGTGGCATAAGGTGAGTTAACACGGATAAAGAGAGGTTAATAATGCAATGAGGCCCACAAATTTTTTGTTTGGGAAGGTAAAAGTGAGACAGGGTATAAATCCCGGGTCCAAGCCCAACCCACTGCTATAATAAATTTTAACCCCCCTAGGTTAAAATTAACTCACCTCCCCCTGGGTTTAAATCCCAACTGACAGGACAAGGCAGACTAATTACTTATTTACCCTCTCTTTTCTCTATACACTTATGGTGGTGTTTGGATCACCATGAGAGGATTGGATTGGATTGGATTGGATTTGAATCCGAACCCAATCCAATCCAATGCAATGTGGTTCGGATTGAAGGATTATAAAGTTCGGATTCAAATCCTATCCCATGTTTGGATAGGTTTCATTTGATTTGTGGGTCTCATTCACGTGTGAAGATAAAACAAACTTAAATGACCATTTCACCCTTGTGTAAAAAAATGTTATTCAATTCTATACCATGTTTGAAATGGAATGAAAAAAAAATTCAATCCATTAGTATTGTCTTATTTACAAAAAAAAAAATATGAATCAATAAATTATGCATTTTTACAAAAATATTGTAATAAATATTTTGTTCATTTATTTAATTTAATTTATACAATACACTTTTAATCACAAACAATCATATGCATCATGCAAAAAAAAAAATTCAACAGAACAACAACACACAAATTAATACAACTCATGCGTAAGTCGTTATCTGTTTCTTTCTTTAAAATCCTCAGTTGTGTGTTTAAAAGTAAAAGTTAATTGTATTTTTTCAATAAATAGCAAAATTAATCCGAACCATATTAAATTTTTTCAATGATCCAAATGCAATTTATTTTCCATTATTTTTAGGGCATTTTAATATTATTGTCCGAATTAATAGTACAAATCTAATAAATTTAAAATATGTTGCTATATTTAAAATGTTAATTTGATTAAGAGTTCATATAAAATGAAACAAATGGATGAATATAAAATTTTGAAGATCTTAAAAATTTAAGATTTAATGAGGCCTAATACCATAGAACAATTATGATTTTTTAATAAGACCCAAACTATTTCATTCAAAGTTGACTTAGACCGAATATTTTCACACACTTATTCTCAAATCATGTGCTTGCATGCTATAATTTGTCAATTGATAGATAATTTGTAACGGTAGCAATTAAGTTCAAAAGTATAAGGGAGTTATGTGTTAATTTCAAAATAATGGGGGTCAGGTGCAAAAAACCGGAATCACTAGGGTATACACTATATTTTAATTTGGTTAAAATGCTCATTTGGTTCTAGATGCTTCGGCTTCACCATCACTCACAGAGAAACCATTAAGACAGAGATAGAGAGAGAGAAGCATCTGGAACTTGAACACATCTGACATCCCCATCAATTATCTCAGCAAAAACTCCATTACCAGCCATTCCTAAAGACCCAAAACTTCTCTCCCCTCCCCTCACTCTTGTGAGTCCACTCTTCGACAGAGAAAAAGGAAAAATGGTGTTGGGAAGCTGGTTTAAGAGAGTGATGGGCTGGAGTGAAAGGTGTGGTTTTGGTGGTGGATTGGCTTGTGTATAAAATGTAGAGTGAAAGATGGATTGGTAGAACATGAATTTTCAGCCTTGGTAAACCTGTGATTCAGATGGGAAATGAGAGAGTGGAATTCCAACAGACAGATGAAGTCTTCCCAAATCCTTTGATCAAGGAGATCACATTCTAAGATCCGAAGAAGAGAGAGTCCCAACCTCTCTATTCAGCACATCAAGGAAAAGCAGAGAAATTAAAACCAAAGAGGGAGAGCCAAGAACAGAGAAGGTTGTAAGTACAATTGTCTGAGGCTCTGTTTTCATTATATATCTCTGAGATCCATTTTGACCAGTGAAATTCAATCCAACCTCAATTAATTCCATTCCATACATCAAATAATTGGTTGTAAGTACCCAGAAAAATTGTTGGTTTTTACATTGGATTCAAACAAATATGACTCCCATCCAACCATTGCCTTGGAGGGTCTCACACTCTGATGCGCAGGGTCTCAAACATCCAACTGTTCAAGGGTGTTTATGTAATTTAGTCATGTATCCCCTTCACTAGATTTTGAATCCCTCCATTCACATGGGTTGAGATAATCCTGCCTGGGAAGGATTATCCACTCTGCAAGACAAAGACGATTTTTTGAATCCCACCGAGGAGCTCATTCCACTTTGTTCAACCAAACCAAGGATAAGTGGGTCCATTCATTATCTTAATCCAATCCCACCTATAATCCCCCCTAATCGTTCGATCCAAACACCACCGTACTATCCAAGATCTAATACCACACTCTTGTTTTACTGTCGAAGATCTGATACCCCTCTCATTTCTCATTCAAGGCTTGCAGTTGAGAGGTGCTCTCTCTGTGAAGGCAACGAGGAACACAGCAAGGAATACGACTAGGCTAGTCGGAGGTAAACGTCTCTCTTTCCCTCTCTCTCTCTGGACTGAACAAAAGATTTAAGCAGCATTATCCAAATATTTGGCTCACTACAGAGATCCATATCTGCTTAAATCTAACCATCGAATGCACTGTGTGGGTCTATAGACCAATGAAAACCCATTACCCAAAGATCTAGCTAATGATTTTTCTACTTCTGGGTTTCTAGGGAAAGCCACCACTTCAGCTGTTGGTGGTGTTGTGTAGATTGTGTTTCTCCTCTTGTGGTTGGA